CTGGATAGGGAAAGGTGGAACTGCCCTTGTGGGTTTCTGAGACTCACTCTTTTTTTTTTTAACTCCATATTGGCTTAGCTTTATTCTATTCTGTTTTACTTTGGTCTTTGCATGCTTTCCGGTTTTCTGGTTTTTATTTATTTAAATTTCTGATTTTTATTTTTAACAGTTTTATTGGCATATAATTCACATATCATATAATTCAATAGTTTAATCACATCAAGAAGAGCTGTACAATCATTACCACACTCAGTTTTAGAATATTTTCTTCATTTTTTTAACAATGATATATATATGTTTTTATTCTTTTTTTAATCTTTTTATTCATTAAAAAATCATTTTATTAGGGGCTCATACAACTCATCACAATCCATGCATACATCCACTGTGTCAAGCACATTTGTGCATTCATTGCCCTCATTATTCTCAAAACATTTGCTCTCCACTTAAGCCCCTGGCATCAGCTCCTCATTTTCATTTTAGAGAAATCACTGAAACCCAAATGAAGGCTGAACATGATAGTGGGACAAGAGGAAAGTAGAAGGAAATAGAAGAAAGAGCTAGGAGGCAAAGGGCATTTATAGAGGGCTAAATAAAGGCATGTACATATGTAAATTATATATGAGGATGGGGAAATAGATCTGTGTGCATACATTAAGGTAGCAGAAGGACATTGGGCCTCCACTCAAGTACTCCCTTAATGCAAGAATGCTTTGTTCTATTAAATTGTCATTCCATGATGCTTAGCCTCCCCACACAATCACTGAAGACAAAGCGGTGCATAAGTAAATGTGGTGAAGAAAGCTGATGGTGCTGATCGAAAGCTACAGGCTTGAAGGTAAACAAGTGGCCATCTAGCTCAGAAGCAACAAAGCCCACATGGAAGAAGCACACTAGCCTGTTGATCACGAGGTGCCGAAGGGATCAGTTATCAGGCATCAAAGAACAAAAATTCATATCATTGTGTGCTCACCTCCATGATACGATCGCTGAAGACAAATGGGTGCATACGCACATGTGGCGAAGAAAGCTGATGGTGCCCGGCTATCAAAAGATGTAGCATCTGGGGTCTTAAAGGCTTGAAGGTAAACAAGAGGCCATCTAGCTCAGAAGCAACAAAGCCCACATGGAAAAAGCCCACCAGCCTGTGTTGATTACGAGGTGTGGAAGGGATCATGTATCAGGCATCATCAGAACCAAAAAGTCATATCATTGTGAATGAGGGGGAGTGTGGAGTGGAGACCCAAAGCCCATCTGTAGGCAACTGGTCATCCCCTTACAGAAGGGTCGCGGGGAGGAGATGAGCCAGTCAGGGTGCAGTGTAGCAATGATGAAACGAAACATACAACTTTCCTCTATTTCTTTAATGCTTCCTCCCCCCACCCCACTATCATGATTCCAATTCTACCTTACAAATCTGACGAGACCAGAGGATGTACACTGGTACAGATAGAAACTGGAAACATAGGGAATCCAGGGTGGATGATCCCTTCAGGACCAGTGGTGAGAGTGGCAATACTGGGAGGGTGGAGGAGGGTGGGGTAGAAAGGCGGAACCGATTACAAGGATCTGCATATAACCTCCTCCCTGGGGGACAGACAACAGAAAAGTGGGTGAAGGGAGACATGAGACAGTGCAAGATATGACAAAATAATAATTTATAAATTATCAAGGATTCATGAGGGAGGGGGATCAGGGAGGGAGAGGAAAAAATGAGCTGATGCCAGGGGCTTAAGTGGAGAGCAAATGTTTTGAGAATGATGAGGGCAATGAATGTACAAATGTGCTTTACACAATGGATGTATATATGGATTGTGATAAGAGTCGTATGAGCCCCTCATAAAATGATAAAAGGAAGCACAGAATGTTTAAAAGTAGAACAGCTTTCAATGGATCCTAAGGGAGATCAAGTGACAGGGTACTGATTTTTCACTGCCTGTGTGACCCTCTACCCCCTAAGGCATTCTGCATGGTAAGGCTGTGCACATCGCTGGTCCGTGATCAGAGCGGACTCGCTGCTTCTCAACCTTCCCAATGCCCTGACCCTTTCATACAGTCCCACATGTGGTGGTGACCCCCCCAACCATAAACTTATGTTCCTTGCTACTTCATCACTGTAATTTTGCCACTGCTATGGATCAGGCGACCCCTGTGAAAGGGTCATTCGGCCGCCAAAGGGGTTGCGACCCACAGGTTGAGAGCCGCTGCTGTAGGGTCTTAATCCATGTGCATTTCCCCTTGACTTTTTCTTTAAAATGGGTAAAAAGTTCTCATCCAAAGATGTGATTATATTTTGACCTAACTGTTTGCGCTGATTGACAAGTTACACTGCTCTCTGTCTAATCACAGGGCTATTCGCGTCCCTCAGCTATGACCAGAGGGGGTTCACCCGAGGCTTAGAGCCCACGTGAGGACCCTGCGAGGAGATGCTGGGCGCCTCCTGCCATCCATACCCTTCTGCAAACCAGGTGCTTACAGGTTAAGCCCTGAGCCCATTCCTTCCTTTAGATTTGGATTGCATCATTTATTTGTCGTCCTTGGATCAAACAGGCCGCTGAGCTTCTTCCTCGTGGAGTGAGTTGACACCGCGCTTAGCTGGCTGCTAGTTTGAAGGCAAGCCTGCAAGACCCCATACCCTATTCCTTCTGATGGCTGGGCCCCATCTGGCTTCTGCCCCACCCTTTGCTGTAGCACCCATGTCTTCAGAGATCTCTTCGTGAGGGTGGGCATCACGCAGGGCCACGTTAGACTGTACCTCTTGATGGGAGAAGGAAGCCTCGTTTCTCTCCCTCAACGTGGCTGATACGATTTTCCTAGGAATTTGTCGGTCTAAACTTTTAAATTTATTGTCATGAAGTTCATGGTGGTCTCATTTTATTGTCTGTGTGAGCTGTAGTGGTGACTCTTTTATCATCCTTTATGTGAGTTATTTGTGCTTTTTAAAAGAAATCATTTTATTGAGAGCTCATACAACTCTTATCACAATCCATACATCCATCCATTGTGTCAAGCACATTTGTTGCTCTAATCCTTCTCAAAACATTTGCTTTCTACTTGAGCCCTTGGTATCAGCTCCTCATTTTCCCCCTCCCTCCCCGCCCCTACCCATGAACCCTTGATAATTTATAAATTATTATTATTTTGTCATGTCTTACACTGTCCGATGTCTCCCTTCACCCACTTTTCTGTGGGGGGAGGTCAGATCCTTGCTGCCAGACTGCTGTCTCATGCCACCATGGGGGTGGGGTTGGGGGGGGTGGGAGGACCTGCTCCCTGCCGCAGGGGACAATGGACAGGCTCCTGTGGGCGGAGTTCGCATCCTACTGAGAATGGTCCCTATCAGTTGGGCCAGGGCCAGGCCAAACCTCTTCCTATAGCGTGTGTATGTCCCTAGATCACCCCCTCCCATCACTGTAATACCTGTAGCACAACCCTTTCCTGTGACGTATGTCTTCACCTGTAATGTGGGGGCTTGCACGTCCCCAACGTCCCGAGAGAGTATAAAAGCTTGAGGAGCATTAAAGTTCTCTCTCTCTCCACATGGATTACCAAGCGGGGCTGAGGTGAGCAATGCTACCGTGAAATGTGTCTGACTTCATTTATTTCTATATATCTCTTTTATCTCTCATGCTCTCTATAACTTTACTATAATATTTACTTATTATCGCCGTACAATTGCGCCTACCGAACCTGTAGTGATTGTGCTAGGAGCTGGCTTCTTCTGGCATTTTTCTGTTGCCCGTCCCCCAGGGAGGCCTTATATGTAGATGCTTATAATTGATTCCCCCTTTCTTCTCCACCTTCCCTCCACCCTCCTGGTATCGCCACGCTCACCACTGGTCCTGAGGGGTTTATCTGTCCTGGATTCCCTGTGTTTCCAGTTCCTATCTGTACCAGTATACATCCTCTGGTCTAGCCAGACTTGTAAGGTAGAATTGGGATCATGACAGTGGTGGGGAGGAAACATTTAAGAACTAGAGGAAAGCTGTATGTTTCATCGTTGCTACCCTGCACCCTGACTGGCTCGTCTCCTCCCCGTGACCCTTCTGTAAGGGGATGTCCAGTTGCCTACATATATATATATGTATATATGTATTTTAAAGAGCATAGTACGTATGAAGTGATAACGTTGTTTCCTGAGCCAGTGTGTCACCTAGCTGGAAGATGGCCTCCAAGTGTGGTTTCATCGCACAGTTTAAAGGGGATAATCCGAGGACGTCCTCTTCTCTGCCTGTCCCAGAAGCTTGGGAAATTTTAAAAAGAATTGGAGGTTTTCCCTACATCATTCTTAAGTGTTAAATGGAACAAGGATAAGGCAGGGTATATTATCCGGATAAAAAGACCATTAGCAGGGCCCGTGTGGTGTTAGCGGGTTTGCTGACACACCCAGCTTTGAAGAGGACATCAGAGGTCAAGGAAAGCGGTCACCAGTGCATGGTGGCAGATCAGTATCTCATAGCTACAGGCTGAGTTACTGGATGGGGACGGGGCCATGGTTGGTAGACAGAGGCGCGTACAGGCCTGGCCCGGGCGTTGTACACATTTTCTCTCTCTGGGACCATCTGCGTGCCCCGGGGTGGTGGTAGCGGGGTTGGGGGTCCCGACTAGTTCTAGTGTCAAGGTACACGAGGCGGTGACTGGTGTAGACGACGAGGCCTAGAGACTGGTTCCGTTTTCCGTCTCTTTCCTTCTGCCTTTACGCCAGATGGTAAAGGCCAATAGTTGTGCTTTCGGTGGCTGTTAGTAATTCTACTACTGCTCCTTCCCCCCTCCCCCTAGTCTCGAGACGGATGGTCCCTTGAGGGCAGGACCCCAGGCCTTCCTCGCTGTCTTGTCCCAGTCCCCGCACAGGGGGGGGTGAGAAGATGGGTGACTTCGTTAGAAGAAGCCCGTCAAGGCCCCACAGGCCGTCTCTGTGCCCCCAAGTGCCCAGAAGAATCGCATAGAGATGCGTCGCGCTCGGCCATCCCTGTCCCTGACCTCCCCCTCTCTGGCCGCAGAAGGAGCTTCAAGAGCAGGGAGAGGTCCGGGTCGTCCAGCTGGGCTTCGACCTGGACGCACATGGGATCATCCTCACCGAGGACTACAGGACCAAGGTGTGTGTGCCGGTCGGTCCACGTGCGCGTGCGGGCTGGGGAGACAAGGCCATTGGGGTACAGATATAAAGGAGGGGGGAGTGAGGAAGAGCGTGAGTGAGAGGTGGGAGAGCAGGCCAGGTCGCGTTGTGGGGGGGGTGGGGGTGGCGGAGCCGAGATGGGACCAGGTCGTGTCTTGTCTGCGCTCCCAGGTTCTGGAGGCCTGTGAGGGCCGACCGTATGCTGGGGCCGTGCAGAAGTTTCTGGCTGAAGTCCTCCCAGCCTGTGGGGACCTTAGCTTCCAGCAGGACCAGATGACGCAGACCTTCGGCTTCAGGGACCCAGAGATCACGTGAGGCTTGGGGGGGCCAACAGGCTGACCCATCTTCCCCTTTCTGCCCCCTTCTGTCCCCCTCCAGCCTTGCCCCTTCCCTCTAGTAAGCCTGCCAAAGAAGCTAACCTTTCCTTGGAGTACAGAGGCCCAAGTCAGTACTCCTCGGCCCGGAGAGAAGACCCATTGTAGGCGGGGCCTTAGGAAACCCCTGGGGGTCTGGATGGCTAGCCAGTGCACACAGGCCGGTCAGAAACCACCCAGGCCTGCCATGAGTCACGCTGGAACGAGGCAAGGGAGAAACAGAACTGGAGTTTGGGGAGGCTGTCTCTGGCCCAGGCTTCCTCGTTTGTATCCCACGACATTCATGCAAGTGTTTAATAACCAATACTGTTGTCATGGGGAGCCAGACCTGCAATTTTAATTCTTCTTGTCAGCAGGGCTGGGAGCCACAGCGAGGGGGCATGGCAGGGTGGGGGCACAGAAGGAAGGCTCCCCCGGAGTGGGAGGCAGTGTGGGTCAGGGAGCTCCTCAGGGAGGGCTTCCAAGAGGTGAACCGGTTTAGTGAATGTGCAGTTGAGCCAGGAAAGGGAAGGAGGCAGGAGGGAGGTCTAGGCAGATGGAGCGGAACACGCGAGGGCATGGAGGCAGCGGTGGTGCGGGTGGGGAGGGGCCGCCTCGGGTCGGGCGTTGGTGTTCCATGCCCTCTTACACGGCCGCCCTTAGAATCCAATATTGATGAGTAGGGATGAGGGCGGGGTGGAGGGGGGGGGGGGGGGGGGGAGGGAGCGGACGGGGCGGGGGCGATGGTTCTCAGAGCCAGGACCTTATCTATCTCAGCTTCTCACTCCCTTCCAGGCAGCTGGTGAATGCTGGCGTCCTCACTGTCCGGGATGCTGGGAGCTGGTGGCTGGCCGTGCCTGGAGCTGGGAGATTCATCAAATACTTTGTTAAAGGTAGCCCTCGGGTGCAACTCAAGCCCCCCCACCATTCAAGCACACCTGTGGCGACTCCGTGAGCTATTAGGCACTGTGCACCTGCCCCCCCTCACCCGTGCAACCTCTCTTCCAGGCCGCCAGACTGTCCTCGGCATGGTCCGGAAAGCCAAGTACCGGGAGCTGCTCCTGTCAGAGGTTCTGAGCCGGCGGACCCCTGCCGCCGTACGGCTCGGCCTCTCCTACCATGTGCATGACCTCATTGGGGCCCAGCTGGTGGACTGGTGAGTCTCGTCCCCCAGGCCCTGGCCATATAACCCAGAATGATCCGAAGCGTGACTTCCTCCTGACTCAGGCGTAGGCCCCTGGAGAAGCCGTGCTCCTCTCTCCTTTGTCGCCTCTGCCAAGTTCTGAGTGCTCCCCTAACCTCCAGCCTCCCCCTCCCGCTGCACAGCATCTCCACCACGTCCGGAACCCTCCTCCGCCTGCCAGAGACCTGAGGACCCTGCTCATCGCTGCATTCCTCCTCCAACTGGGCAGGGGGGCCCAGGACTGCAGCCCCTGGTGCCTGAGACGGGTCACCTTGGGAAGGCGTGGGAGCTGGCTGAGTGTTGGGCTGCCGTCTGTGCAGAGGCTCAGACCTGGCTGCTGCCGTTCGTTTACGTGGGCTCCGACCCAGGGGGGGATTTGGAGCACGCCTCTCTGCCCTTCCAAGATGTGGGGCCAGAGACAGGACCCAGGCTGTGGCTCCCGCTTTTCCTGTGGAGGAAGTACTGATGTCCACTCTTTCTCAAAATGAGAAGAGGAGCTTTCTGGGTAAACGGGTGAAGGACGGCAAACTTTGCTTCCTGGTCTTGGTGCTGAAACTGGCAAATAAAGCCCCTCTGCCTACGAGGTTTTCGGAATGTCTTTGTCTAACGTGTGTGTCCATGGGGCCTCGTTTGGGATAGAAGTAAAGCCAACTCCAGGCCCGAGCTTCGCTTCAGTATGCAGAAAGCAGAAAGGCCGGGCCTCTCTGGGCTTGATCCCCTAAACCGCAGCCTTTCCGTCAGAACCTGCGACAAGCACAGCCCTTGAGTTACGGTCCGTTCGCGCGGCCCTTCTCGCCGTGGCTCCTGGTGTGATTTGGGACGGTTCTGGGCTTGAGGAGCTGTGACCGGCCCCGTTTCAGAGGGCATTCCGAAATGTGCTGGTGGACAGGAGGGGGTGGGGCCGAGCCCTGACCTGTGGGAGGATGTGGGCCGAGCCAGAGCCTTTGTTTCCTTGAGAGCCTCTCAAGACCCCACTTTAACACGGATGGGAACCAGGTCCCGCGCTCTGTTTCCCTTGGCTGTAGAACGGTGTCCCATACAGGTGTACACACTCACGGCCTCTCCTGCAAAGCCGGACCTCTGTTTCCTGACGGAGCGCTGGTGGAAGCAAGAAGACCTGCTGTGGGGATTGGACATTTGGGGCTCTGGCTCAGGGCCCTGCATTTGGCTCACCTCTGCCTGACCCTGGGATTAGGGGCCGAACACCACCCGCACCCCCCACCCTCGCCCCCACCTGCACCCTTTCCTCAAAGGGCTGTGTGTTTCTGTGGGACGTCGTCGCAGCGAGTCTCGGAACCCAGGGCCTTCCGGGGATATATGCAAGGGAGGGGTCGGCGGGAATGGAGCAGCGTAGTATCTTGGAAGAGCTGGACATTTGGGACTTCTTCAATGCCCAGCTCCTTAGAACTAGTCTGGCCTTAGTTCCTAACGAAAGCAATGATAACCATAGTTAGTGTCTGATTGGTGGAGTTCACCGCAACAGCCCTAGCTCCCCATGGAAGGCAGTTTGGGGGAAAAGAGGTATAAAAGGGGGCAAGGAGAAACCTTTGACTTCTGACCGGGCTGGAGAACACGCATGGATGAACGCAGCTGTCACCTTGCTACCTGTTACCCAGGCAGCAGCTGTTGACGGGGTTCAGAATGGGTGGGTGTCGGTCCCACTCCTGAGGCCCTGCCTCCTGGGTGCCTGCGGAACTCGGCAGTGAGAGGAAGGGGCAAGCTGGCTGGCCCCTCCCTGGGCTCGGGTTGTCAGCGGTAGCCAGAACTCAGGGTGAGTTGTGGCACTGCCGAAATCCAGAGCCAGTGTGTTAGGGTTCTCTAGAGAGATAAAACCAAATTGCTGATAATTTAATATATTTATTTATAAAGATAATTAGATATATAACAAGAAATGAACTGTTAAATCATATACAGATAAATATATAATACAATAAATGAACAGTTAAATTATAAAGCAGTACAAATGGCTCAATGCAACTCACTCCCGTGAGAGAGAGTTGTGGGAGACTAGCAGTCCTTCCAGTCCAATCTGCTGCCAGATCTTCCTCTATTTATAGAGAGAGCTAGGCTATGTCAGCACAGCAGCCAATCACAAGGCAGGTCACCAACTGCCAGTCCCCAGCTCCAGAGATGTCTTAAAAGGGACCTCAACTTACAGCGACACAGTCCACAGGCTAGGCGTCCCACAGGCAGTGTAGCCTTTAAATTGAGGCACAGAACAAGCAAGGCAGCCGCACACTGGTCCGATGATCAAAGAGCAAGAGACAAGAAAGGCGAGGCTCACCGAGCCATTTATCTCTCTGCCCTTCCATTAATCCCACTTGTGTTTATCAGCCAGGCTGGCACAATAAACTATCTCAGCCTGTTTGGTCAGAACACCAACCTCTAGTCTCAGCAACTCAGAAAGGAAAACATTGTGTTAGAACAAGACATCCCCTACAACCGCTAGTCACCAAGAAGGTAGTCCGGGAGAGGAACAGGGAAAATCAAGAAACCATTGAGCACAGGGGTGGGTAGCATAAAGTTTTGTAGACAGGTCTCATCAGCGGCTCTCGGAACCATGACGAGCCTGGATTTAGGGCCAGCATCTTGGGTTTTGAATGCCACGGCATGGGAAAGTATGTTTGGATTGGCGCTCACTACGGAACCGTCACGAATGGTCATACTACACTCAGTCACCAGGAAGGTGTGGCAGTTACACAGTCTGCTGTCAACTTGGAAAGGGGTGGAGTCTAGCCTGTCAATCAGGTCGCAGCTTGAGGACCTCATTTGGAGGCAACCAGGGAGATAAATAGCTCACTGGAGTCCAGATACATACAGACTCTGCTTTGTCTTCCTGCTGACAAGACACATGGAGCTTCACCAGAGCCCTGGAAGTGGAGGAGCCACATGGAGATCCCTGCCAGCGCTGAGATGCTTCCACTGCCACTGGATCCACAAGACTTCCGCCCACTGGCCTGTGATCTTCCCACAACTCGGCGTCATTGCATGTGTTGCATGAGTCTGAAGAGTTTATAAACTGGTATCGGATATATGGGCTAATATCAGACTTATGGACTTGATCTGGACTGGGTTGGGAAGTTTTCTTAATACACAATTACTCTTCGATAGAAAGTTCTCTGTTACACGCATATGTGCCTATGAATTTGTTTCTCTTAGTCAACCCAGACACGGAAGGTTAATCTTGAGAGACCAGCCAGCCTGGAGGACTGGATAAAATTTGCAGTGAGACCTGTTTACCCCAAGAAGGGAAACTGCCCCCTGTCTCCTCCAGAAGCAGCAGCCAGCGTGTTGCTCATGGAAGCAATGTTAGAGTGGCTCTGTGGTGCTGAGGCTGCTCGTCCAGTGAGTATGCCCCTTACACAGATCATGCCAGATACGGTAACAAAGGGAGCCCCTTCCAACGTCTACAGTTAGAACCACAATCTGAGGAGCAATGTCAGATTTATTGGCAAAACTTCCCCCGATGGGTTTCACAGATGCAAGAAACAGACATACTAATAAATGGGAGAATCGGACTGGGAGAGAACTTTATCCCCGTCGGAAAGAGATTGTCAGATGGCTGCTGGGATGGGATGAATACAGCAGCTGTGGACGGAGCTGATACCAACGGTGTGATACAGCACGGCAGGAAGTTGGGTACCGATGGAAACTTCTGCTGCTTCCCCAGTGTTAAGGAGGCCTACACAAGTCTACCTTTGCACTCCAGCCGGGAGGTTGTTTAAGGATGAAAATCCCCACCTGGGACCCTGTGAGGCAGAGACTCGGCTAGCTGAGGAAGATGAGGATTGATGAGGGGTCTTCTGGGAGCCATCAGGGAACCTGAGGCCATATGCAGACATCTAGGGTGCTGGGGGAGACCTTCGTGGGGCTCTCTCCGGGCCTGGGACAGCTGCGAGCCTGCGAGGGCATCGGGACCTGCAAAGTGCCTCAGTGGGGCTGGAGCCGTGGCGAGAGTAGAGCACTGGCGGCTGCAGCTGCGGGAAGACCAGAGCATCTGGGAGCAGCAGCAGCAGTACCGCACCAGGCCCAGGAGCCCCAGGCACATGATCGCCAAACCTGCTGATAAAATACTGAAGGGGGGCTTGAGGTTAGAATCGAGGGATATGGAGATGCAACTGTTGATACAACTACGGTGAACATTTGGGTGACAGTTCAAACGTCTCGTCTGAAGTAGTTGCCTCTCCCTTGGCTGGATATATTATTATTGGCATGGATATTTGTCTAATGGGGGGACACTCCTCTGCCTGATCTTGGAAAATTGATGTCTGCCCTTAGACTGATATTGATTGGCTGTGCTAAACGAGAACCCTTGCAATTGCCTGAACCCATTCAGATCGCCAATTTGAAACAGTCTAAGATACTCGGTGGACAAGATGTGGTTTCTGCTTTGCTTGAAGACTTGCTAAAGACAAATTCTCTGTACAGCAATTCTCCGGGCCTGTGGAATGGTTGTGGTAGATCATGGAGGCCTAAATCAAGTCGTGCCATCCGTGGCTACAGTTGCTCCAGACATGGTATCGATGGTGCAGAAAATCCAGCGGGCTAAAGAAGACCAGTCCTCGGTGACGGGTCTTGCAAATCCCTTTTCCTCCACCCCACGTTCAGCAAAGATCTGCCACAGCTCGCTTTCACCTGGGGAAGGTCACAATTTACTTTCACCACCTTGGCCCAGGTTAAATTCTTCAGCCTTCTGTCATAGTTTGGTTAGAAGAGAGTTGGACGTGGTGCAGTCCCCAAGGATAGTGATCCATATGACCTTGGTTATGCCACGTTACTGTCAAACATGGAAGCATAGGCTAGGGCAGATTTGAAAACTGGTGGCCCACATGATCAATAAAAACTGCTCAATCAATCTGGCGAAACCCCAGGGCCTTGCCCAAATGGTGAAGTTATTGGCAACAACTTGGTCAGGAGCCATTGGTGGCATTTCATGGGCAACCGAGAACAAGTCCTGTCCCTCCCTCCCTCCATGACTAAGCAGGAGCCCGCAGTGTGGTCGGTCTTTTGGGTCGTGGAGGACTCCGATTCCACAGCTGGGCTATTGCTCGCTCCCCCATGAAATTACTTGGAAGAAGACGGCATTTGAAAGGGAGCCGGAGCAACACAGGCTGCGTCTGCGTTCCAGAGAGCAGGTTCGCCCTCCTGGCCTGGAAGCCCTTCCAAGCCACGTTCACATGTTTCTGAAGGTGTCTGCCGCGTGTCCTTAGTGGAAGGGAGCTTGTGGCGAAACCTGGAGAACAGTACAAGGGCCACTGGGACTCTGGACGAGGACCTTTCCAGAGGTTGCAACACAATACACACCATTTGAAAGCCAATTCCCGGGCCATTGCTCAAGTCTCAGTACCTGAGCTACCCGCCGGTCTTGGGTGATGGTGGAGAAACAAATCAGGGGACAGTTCTGCAAGGAAATGGAAATGGTTTGTACAAGAGCACGCTGCTGGGGGCCTGCAGGGTGGTGCCCACCATATCCACACACTCCCAGGTCGTACCCTGGAGCCACGTGAGCAGCTGCCAGAGCCTATTGCCACACACGGGCAGTGCCCTATGGACAACTTTCTGCTGACCAGATGACAATCTTAGGGTACACGCACAAGCTCTGATGTGGCACGCTGCTGCCGAAGGACCAACATTGGCAACGGCGGCAGTGGGCTGAATTGCATGCTGTTTTCCAGCTGTGATGGAAGAATTAGACAATAGTGAGAGCCCATCTGTTTGCATTTTTTACTGCTTCGTGGGCAGGGGCCAGTGGTCTGGCTATTTGGTCACGCAAATGGGCAATGGAAAACTGGACCACTGAAGGAGCACCCGTGTGGAGTGAGGCCCTACGGAAAGCTCTATCGGAATTTAAAGAGCTCCTTAGAGTAGAACAAGTTGAGGCCCATCTGCAGAACCCCTCTCTGGATTAGCAGACGGTTGGAGCCAACAAGCGGACATGCAGGTCTTCTCCCCTGAGATGGCCAATTGGGTCCCCAAGAGGAGCAGATGTGGCGGTGCTGCCGTGATGCAGAGACGGGCTGGATACAGATGCAGCCCCCACACAGCCTCCGAGGCCCCAAATGACAATCAGTACTGTGTCTGCCAACGGGTAAAACAGAGGTTGCAGATGCCTGTAGGACAGATTCTCCAGAGGAAGGCCCTTCACCTCGCTGGCAGATCGATTGCATTCAACCAATAACACCAAAGTGGCTAGGTGGGGGTCCCCACGGGCCGACCACGCTGCACTTGGCTGCGCCTATCCCGGAACACACGTCGCTGCTCGCAGGGTGCAGCGGTGAGCCAAGGAACGCCGCATTAGACGGACACGCTATATTTCACGCTACCCTCAGGCTTGATAGAGAATTTGAGTGGGTGGTTGGAACCTTTGTTGTCCAATGTTGAGGGAGATAAAGGCATGTGTGGGTGGCTTTCATGTCTTCATGGGCACGTGCTCACACGCAACATGAGAGAGGCAAAGGGCGATCATCCTTGGATAGATCCCAACGTCTCCCCGGAGGGTCTGAGGCAGAGTGGGTGAGGGAGGATGCTGGTGGCCCTGTATGGTTCTTCCCCACGTCACCGGGAATGGCATTTTGCCCCCTGCTGGATGCTGTGGTCCCAGGACCAGGGATGCAGCTTTGAGGGCCAGAAGCAGTGTCGCAAGAGACTGTAACTACACCCCGGAGCATTCCCAAGGCCCTGATGGAGGGTGCCCGTGTGATCCCTGATGGAGGGTGCCTGTGTGATGTGTGGTGCCTGTGTGCCTGAGCATTCCCAAGGCCCTGATGGATGGTGCCCGTGTGATCTAAGGTTTGTAAAGAATAAAATCCGAATCAGAAGGAGGGCATGTGATCAGAGCTTGATTTGTGACCGCCTGGTTTGCAGGTGTTCTGCAGGGGAAGGCAAAATCCATTTCTAGGGTCCTCACATGGCTGAAGCTTCTGGTGAATGTCCTCTGACCATCCTGGAGGAATGTGAACAACTTGCTGTCAGTCAGAGAACACTGTAAGATTGATCATGGCAGATGTAGCTAGGTTAAAATGTAATGGCTGATCATTCGAACTGCCTTTTGACACCCCCCCACCTCCCGCCCCGCCCCAAGGGGGGAAGGGAAATACCTGTGGATGAAACCTCCCTCCGGTGAAGACCCTTTAAGCACAGACCAGGGATGTGAACAGCCTTGCTATCGTGCAGAACGCATTGCAAAGTGGATAGTTGCAGATGCAGTTAGATTAAAAATTAACAGCTTATCCTTTGATCTCCCCTTTGACCCATTTAAAAATTTTCCCAGTTTTTTTTTCTTTCCTGTTTTTATTTGTTATTGTTATTTTAAAAATGTTTTCCGTGCATGAAAGTCAGGATTTGTAAATCTATAGAGATAGTAATTAATTAATGCTTCCTTGGGGGTGTGGCAGAGGTGGTTGGGGGGGTAGTGAGGCGCTAATAACAATGAGTGTACAGAAAGAAGAACATGTTCTCAAATTGATTGTGGTAACGATTGTCTAACTCATCTTAATAAGACTGAACTATTGAGTTGGATGATATGTGAATTAGATGTCAATCAGACAAAAATAATAGTGGGCGGTAAAGGAATTATAAAGCCAAATTGCCCCCGTGTCTGGTACTGCCATCTCGGGCAGGCTGTGGGTTCATGTTTCCTAGCAGTGCAAAGTGGGACGTACCCAGAAACGGAGGCTAACCAACCCGGAACGGCACAGGGAGCCCAACCTCCGAGGGAGGACCACACACCCAGCGCAGGAACTACACAAAGGACCAGCCTGCCAACCTACCTCAGATGAGCCAATCAGTGGATTGATGGAAGGGGGGGCTGGGAACGCCCCTGTAAATAAATACAGTGGAATTTCTTTTGTGGGGGCCCTGGTCCAAGACAGTGCACGGAATTAAGCACCTGAGGCCTGGAGCCCTGGCTTAAGCTAGCGTAATAAAACCTCTTCTGTGATTGCAGCCCTGTGTCTGATCTCCTTCCATTGAACGGGGAATTGCTCCAGGTCCCTAACAGAATGATTAAATTATGAAACAGCAGTGAGGGGAAATCCAGTATTATGCTGATTCCTTAACAGAGACACGGAGTAAGAGGATCTCCTCTCGGTTCAAGTATGAATGGGTTCATGGCTAGAAGTGCCAGGGGGTGGCCTTGAGTTACGATCCGTTCACGCGGCCCTTCTCGTGGCTCCTGGTATGATTTGGGACGATTCTGGACGTGAGGAGCCTGTCGGGAGGGGTGTGGGGCCGAGCCCTGACCTGGGGGAGGATGGGGGCTGAGCCATAGCCTTTGTTTCCTTGAGAGCCTCTCAAGACCCCACTTTAACACGGATGGGAACCAGGTCCCGCGCTCTGTTTCCCTTGGCTGTATAATGGTGTCCCATACAGGTGTACACACTCACGGCCTCTCCTGCAAAGCCGGACCTCTGTTTCCTGACTGAGCTCTGGTGGAAGGAAGAAGACCTGCTGTGGGGGTTGGACATTTGGGGCTCTGGCTCAGGGCCCTGCATTTGGCTCACCCCTGCCTGACCCTGGGATTAGGGGCCTAACACCACCCGCACCCCCACCCTCGCCCTTTCCTCAAAGGGCTGTGTGCTTTCTGTGGTCTCAGAACCCAGGGGCTTTTGGGAATATACTGTAGAGACCAGGAGCGTTTACCCCGACAACAGAAGATCAGACACAAGGCTGCAACCACAAGAGAGGTTTTATTTGTACTAGCTTAAGCCAGGGCTCCACTCCTCAGGCACTCAACCACACGTACTGTCTTGGACAAGAGCCCCGAACAAACAGAACGCTGCCATTTATATACACAGGGTTTACGTAGCCAGGGCGTCCCCAGCCCGCCCCTCCTGCTTTCCGCTGATTGGCTTGTTGGTGGTGGGTTGGCAGTTTGGTCCTTTGTGTTGTTCCCCCAGGCACTGGCTGTGTGTCCTCATGGGAGGTTTGGCCCGCGTGTCGTCCCCGGGTTGGCTAGCCTCAGCCCCCGGGGTTTTCCAGCTCTGGACTGTACACAGAGCAAAATAAAACCAAGGCTTGCCTGAGGTTGCGGGGCCTGCCATGGAGGCAATTTGGCTTTACAAATTGCCAGGCCCCCCCCCCCCCACTAATCACAGGTTCGATAGGCACAATTGTACGGTTGAGACATATCAATATTATAGTAACGTCGTCGAGAACATGAGAGAGAGAAGAGAGGTTGAAATAATGGAGTCAGACACATTTCGTGGTAGCATGCTCACCTCAGCCCCGCTTGGTGGTCCACGTGGAGAGAGGGGGAGGGGAAGGAGGACAAGGGGAAAGGGAACAGGGGAGAGAGGACTGGAGAGGAGAGGGGGAGCCGATGAGAGGCCAAGAGGGGAGCCTGAGAGAGAGCTCTTTATTGCTAACCCAGACCTATATACCTTTGGGGTGTGCAAGGTCACTAATTACAGGTAAAGACCTATGTCACAGGAAGGGGTTGCACTATAGGTTATACTGCAATGAGAGGGGGACAATCTAGGGACATACATGCAATAGGAAGAGGAGGGGTTGGGGGTATACATGTGACAAGAAGGGTAGATCCTAGATTCAGGATGGCAGCCTAACTTTGGACGGTCACTGAGCTGGTTTGACGTGTTCCCTGGCTCAACTACAGAGACCATCAACAGTAGGGTGCAAACTTCACCTACAGGAACTAAATTGATGACCAACAGCCTTTAGGGAGGAGTAGCCTATTGTCCTTAATAGCAGGGAGCAGGCCTACCCCTGGTAGGAAGCTATGGCCCGCCAAGGACGCTTACCCAGCTCGCCGGGTGTTTTTGCCCCATTTTGTTTTTTACTTCAAATTAAGATATGTGCAGGCATAGGAATGTGTTCATAGTTTTTTTTTAAACTAAAGTCTGACCCTCCAATGGGTCTGAGGGACAGTGAACTGGCCCCCTGTTTAAAAAGTTTGAGGACCCCTGGACTAGACAGTAGTCTGGCAGCTGACTGTCTTAAGGGAAGTAACTTTTACCATTAGCTGCACACAGTGTCCTAAGTCTAACGTATATTTGGGGGAGACGACTTGGGAGAAATCTTTCTGTTTCCCACACGCAAGGGGAGGGGGGTCGGCAGGGAATGGAGCAGCGGAGTATCTTGGAAGAGCTGGACATTTGGGACTTCTTCAATGCCCAGCTCCTTAGAACTAGTCTGGCCTTAGTTCTTAACAAAAGCAATTACCGCAGGCCTAGTCTAATTACTTTTTTTAGGGTAAAATCAAGAGAAAAGAGCTCGATAAATCCTTTGTTTTGTTAGGACCCTTTTTTATCTGCCCAGCTGAGCCATGAGCCAAAGGACATGTGTACATATGTACATACACACACACACACACACAGTGATAGGGGTGGGGGTGTGGTGAGAGGAGTTAACGGGAAGAACAGGTTTTTTTTCTCTGGGTCCAAATTCCCTCAGAGACCCAGGCGTCCGAGCTGTCCTGCCCCCCCCCCCCCCCATCCTGGGCATGGGGCCAGTTGCATTTCTTGGCCATCACGTGCTTTCCCAGCTTGGTTGGGCCAGGGGAGGAGCTAGGTCCAGAGTCAACCCTGGCCCAAGCCCTAGATTGACCAGACGGACAGACGACGCTGACTCCTCGTGGACCCTCCAGCCATGAGGCTCCTCTGGGGGCTGATCTGGGTGTCCCATCTCTTCGCTTTGTCTCTGCAGGAGCCCAGGTTCTGGAGGCAGAATGCTGGGTCCTGGCGAGGGGGCAGGGCGGGCAGTGGCCTCTGGGCGGAGGGACCAGATGCAGGAGGGGAGGGGGGCAGCGGGGTAGCAGGACAGAGAGAACCCTGAGCCCCTCCGATGGCCCCCTTGCCCTCCCCAGGCTGCTCCTGTTCTCGCCTTCTGTGGTGCACCTGGGGGTCCCCCTGTCGGTGGGGGTGAAGGTCCAGGATGTGCCCCCAGGCCAGACCGTGCAAGGATCGGTGTACCTGCGGAACCCAAAGAACGTGAACGTGCCCTGCTCCCGGGAGGTGCCCTTTCGCCTCAGCTCAGCAAATGACTTCACACTCCTCAGCCTCCAGGTAATGCCCCCGGCTCCCCGGCTGCTTCCTGGGCCCTCGACCCCCACATCCTCCAACGGGCGTCTTTGTCCTTCCCCGCGTCCGCTCCTCCCAGGCCCACTGGTCTTCCTCTCAGCACCTTTGTCCTGCCTTGCTCCACCTTCCCTCATAGACCCCCTTGGACAGCGCCAAGGCCTGTGGCCTCCAGAACCTGCTCGGAGGCCCTGAGGTGCAGCTGATAGCCCGGTCGCCGTGGCTGAAGAGCATTAGCCGCAAAGGTGTGGATACTCAGGGCGTCAACCTGGTCTTCTCCTCTCGCCGGGGCCACCTCTTTCTGCAGACGGACCAGCCTGTGTATAACCCTGGCCAGACGGGTGAGTTGTGGCCTGGGGCTTCACGTTGAACTCCTTCCCAGCCTGCTCAAGGCGGGTGTGGATCTCTTAAACGGCACAGGCCCAAAGACCGTGCCTGCCCCACGGGAGAGCACGCCAGCAAATACACCACCGCCACCGGGCCTTCCTGACCACTCGGGAGCCTGACCGGCCTCCGCTTTGCCCCAGCTCCCTCTGCCTGGGTGCAGGTGGACCCTGAGAGCCCCTAGGGAGAATAGTGATGATGTGTTGGGCAGCTACCTGCAAGGTCAGCTGTTTGAACCCACCAGCTGCTCCAGGACTTTCTACCCCCCAAGGAGTCCGTGTCGGCCACCCACAGGGGCAGCTTTACCCTGTTCTCTGGGCTTGCTGTGAGGCAGAAGCAGCTCCATGGCAGACAGTTTGACACTGGGGGCCAGGGACCACCCCCCCTTTGCCCCTGGGCTCCCCTTCACCCCTCGCCTCCACTCTCTAGTCCGGTTCCGGGTCTTCGCACTGGATCAGGGAATGCGCCCGTCCACGGACACCCTCACGGTCACTGTGGAGGTGAGTGCCTGATCTGGACCCCAGGTCTGACCAGCTGACCCCTCCGCCCCCTGCAGAACGCTCAGGGCCTCCGTGTGCGGAAGAAAGAGCTGTTCTCCTCCACATCCATCTTCCAGGAACACTTTGTGATCCCAGACATCTCTGAGTGAGCGCTCCCCCTCTGGGCACTGCCCCCCACCAGACCCCCAACCCCTGCCCCCACCCTCCACCTCCCGCTTCCTCCAAGACACGCAGAGGACAAGCCCGGCTCCCCCGGGCCGCTGGTTGACCCCATCGCCCGCTTCCTGGGCAGCCCGGCCACTAGCTGTCCTTGGCTTGGACGGCCTGTGTTCTTCCTGTCTGTCCTCAGGCCCGGGACCTGGAAGGTCTCAGCCCGGTTCTCAGATGCCCCGGAATCCAACTACAGCACCCACTTCGAGGTGAAGGAATACGGTGAGAACCGCAGGCAGACTCGAGGGCGCAGCAGCTTTCCCGAGGGACAGGGGAGCAGGAGATGGGGAGACAGTGGGAGACAGTGGATGCTGGATCCTAGAGGGGAGGGGAGTCTTCGAGGAGATCTTTCCCTGAGAGTCTGACCTGCCTCCCCCTTTACCCCGGCTCAGTTCTGCCCAACTTTGAGGTCAAGATCACCCCTGAAAAGCCCTACATCTTGACCGCACCCGGCTTTTTCGATGAAATCCAGTTGGACATCCAAGCCAAGTAAGTGCCCTCCACCCCACGCCTGCCCAGGGCTCCCTGCTCCGTGTGAGCGCACTGGGGAGCCCTGCCTCCCAGCCGGCCGGCCTCTCACTCTGCACAAGACCATGTCATTACGGCCTCCTCCGGCGCTCAGCCCACCGCCTTCCCCATCTCCCCACGGCCACAGGTACATCTACGGGAAGCCAGTGCAAGGGGTAGCGTATGTGCGCTTTGGGCTCCTGGGTGAGGACGGCGAGAAGAGGTTCTTGAGGGGGCTGGAAAACCAGACCAAGGTAGGAAGAGAGGTGTGGGAGGTGAGGGGTGAGGTCAGAGGCTGGCGACTCACCCCAGTCCCCTCCCCTTCCTGCCCCAGCTGGTGGAGGGCCAGAGCCACGTGTCCCTCACGGAGGCCCAGATCCGGGAGGCCCTGGCAAAGCTGGCGCTCAACGTCGATGACCTCCCGGGGCTGCGTCTCTACGTTGCGGCGGCCATCATCGAGTCCCCAGGTGAGTGGCCTCCCCTTACCTAAAGCCAGGCCTTTCACCGCCGACCTCCATCCGAGCCCACCTTCAACAGCACGCTCCTCCCATTTCCTGCTGGGACCCAAAGGCCCCGAGAGATGCAGGTCTCACTCCAGCCCTCTCTCCAGCGGATCCTGGATCCCGTCGTGTTAGTGGTGGCCCGTCCACGTGGCCGCCCTCCGTGGGCGATGGCTCCATGTTACGGTGAGGTCAGGTTGGTCTCATTCACGGCAGCGGCCACCCCTGCCGTGAGCCTCAGCACTGGGGTCCCGCCCAGGGAGTCTCTGGGTGTGATCAAGGGCCAACCTTTGCTTCGCAGCCGAGCACTGAACCCTTGAGCTCCCAGGCTGCCAGAGGGCCTTGGAACAGGTAAAGGTGGACAGAGCCGGCCTGGGCTCCGAGGGGCCCGCGGAGTCGGCTCCTGCCTCGCTGTCCTGGTCCCCAGGCTTTCCCAGGGTTCTCCCCGCGACCCCTCGGTTTCCGTGTCTCGCAGGTGGGGAGCTGGAGGAGGCTGAGCTCACATCCTGGCGTTTTGTGTCGTCTCCCTTCTCCTTGGATCTTAGCAAAACCAAGCGCCACCTTGTGCCCGGGGCCCCCTTTCTGCTGCAGGTTCCTTCTGGAGGGGAAGCGTGAGCCCCCGGGGGGCCGGCGGGGGTGGGGGTGGACGCTGTGCAGAGGGCAGAGCGTGGGAGGCAAGGAGGGGGAGTCCTGGCTCTCTGCCACTCCGTGTTTCCCTAACCTCCCCTCCCCGTCCCCATGTAGGCTCGGGTCCATGACAGGCTGGGCTCCCCAGCTGCTGACGTCCCCGTCAAAGTTTCTGCCACGCTGTCCGCTGGGTCTGCTTCTGAAGCCCAGCACTTTCAGCAGAACACAGACGAGAGCGGCCAAGTCAGCTTTCTTGTCAACGTCCGTCAGACCACACAAGAACTGCAGCTCCTGGTGACTGCCCATCAGCTCCTACTCCTGGTGCCAGAGGGCCGGGGAGGACAGGAGGGCAACGGGGCCCATGGAGGTCTCCGCCCTGACCCGGCGCCCTCCTGACCCCTTGTCTCCAGGTATCTGCAGGCTCCCCACATCCAGACGTGGCCAGGCTCACTGTGACAGCCCCGCCCTCACAAATCTCCAGGTTCCTGTCTATTGAGAGGCTGCAGCTCCAGGCCCCTCGTATTGGGGACACTCTTAACCTGAACCTGCGAGCCGTGGGCAGCAGCCCGGCCACCTTCACTCATTACTACTACATGGTGTGCATGGGAGGGGAGGGGGGAGGGCTGGGGAAAAGCCTTGGAGGAGGGCACAGGGGTGGGGGGGAAAGGTTGCAGGGCTGGGGTGTGCGATGGTGAGGAGACCCTTCTCGGCCCAGATTCTGTCCCGGGGGCAGATTGTGGCCCTGCACCAAGAGCCCAGGTCGACAGTGACCTCGATCTCCATCTTTGTGGACCATCACCTGGCCCCCTCCTTCCAAGTCGTGGCCTTCTACTACCACAAGGACACCCTTGTGGCCAACTCCCTGCGAGTGGACGTCCAGGCTGGGGCCTGCGAGGGCAAGGTAAGGGCAGCGTGGGGGCAGGGGACTTTTAAGGACAGAAACGAGTTTCCTGACAGTCACGCGGGCCAGAAGGCTGAGTTCAGGCACCATCTCTAAAGGAAGGTGCGCTCTCTGTCCACTGGGGCACCTGGTTGCAGCTGGACTCCTGGGTGGCCTCCGTGTGGCCCCACTCTTCCTCCTGTTGGCGTTGGCTCTTCTCGGGGCCAGCGCCGCTCCTTACAAGTTGACCTGGTTGAGGGCCTCACTGCCATGGCCAAGGAGGCCCTGCTCTCCAATCGGGTGACCTCCGCCGGCCTAGGGTTTGGGATTCCAACTCGTACTTGCGGGTGGGGCAGGACGGGACACACTTCAGTCCCTCACAGGGAGAGAAGTCGAGGCGACTGCACACAGGACATGGGTTTTGTTGGGGGAACCCCGAGGATTCTGGGCACCCGTGGCTGGTCTCCCCGTGCTGACTGCCCCTCCCTCCTGCTTCTGCAGCTGGAGCTGAAAGTGGATACTGCCAAGGAGTACCACCCTGGGGACTCTGTCAAGTTCCACCTGCAGACCGACTCCCCGGCCCTAGTGGCCCTGGGAGCTGTGGACACAGCTCTGTACGCTGTGGGTGGCAAGTCCTACAAACCCCTCAACATGGCCAAGGTGTGTCAAGACCTCTCCCCAGTGCCTCCCCTCGTCCCTCCCCTCCCCACTGCCCTGGCCCCTGAGTCTGAGCTAAGTCCTCAGACCTCTCGGGAGCCGCCCCCCCACTCCTCACAGCACCCCCACCCCACCCCCGAAGCCTCTGGCCTCCTCCACAGCTTCTCTTGGCCTCTCAGCCCACTCTCTGCATCCGTCTCACGGCTGCTCACCTCCCACCCTCGCCCCCAACACCTGGTCTTCCCCTGCGGCTGCTCCTGTCTCCCAGCATTCCCCTGCCCTTTTTGGCCAGGTCTTTGAGGTCATGAGCAGCTATGACCTCGGCTGCGGCCCAGGTGGTGGGGCCACGGCCCAGCAGGTGTTCGAGGCAGCGGGTTTGGCCTTTTCTGACGGCGTATCCTGGACCGAATCCCGAAAGAGTGAGCGAAGAGGTGGACCGAGGGGTGGTGGGGGCCGTGACAGAGGAGGAGGGCAGGCAGGCAGGCAGGGTGGGGTGGGGGGGAGGGGTGTGCACCAGAAAGCCAGAGGGGGCAAGAGGGGTGGGGGGAACAGCAAGGGGAGATGGGAGGTGGTTCACCCTAGGATGCAGCTGAAGTCCAGCTCTCTACCAGGTCTCAGCTGCCCAAAGGAGAAAGCCCGGAAAAAGAGGAACGTGAACGTTCAGAAAGCCATCAGCCAGAAGTGTGCGTTGTGGTGGCTAAGGGGCACCTTCCGCTCATGAGGCCAGCATGGGGGTGGGGGGTGCGGGTGCCCTTGGGCCCCCTCGGCTCCTGGAGCCTGTGGGTAGGCCAGGCGGCTCCAGGGTCAGGCCGAGCACAGCATGAGCTGTGTCTCCTTGTCCCCTGCAGTGGACCAGTACACCTCCCCTGTGGCCCGGCGCTGCTGCCTCGACGGGCTGACCCGGCTGCCCATGCCGCGGTCCTGCGAGCAGCGGGCGGCCCGGGTGTCCAC